TGTGTGTGTGTGTGTGTGTGTGTGTGTGTGTGTATGTGTGTGTATGTGTGTGTGTGTGTGTGTCCTCTCTTTCTCTTGTTGAAGGAATAGAAAGTGGTTATTTTGGGTATAGCTGGTTTTGAGTGCTTGTCAGTTGGAGTTTCCAGATTGTACAACTGATGGCAAACTGAAACTGGCAATGAGGTGGTAGAACAACCTGCTTATTACGAGCAAAAACACAACGTTATCAGATGTCTGTGATGATTGCGGCAGGAAGCAAACTGCATGTCAGTTTAGTCATGGACTTTATTTCGAGTACAGTTTCCTGGTGCTACATTTACTCATATCAGTGTCCCAAAATATTTTCTTTAGTTTCCTGTTTTGTCTTATCATACACCCGAGGTTAAAAACTAACTGAATATACACATGCAGCACCCCATGATTAAATGATCTTCTGTCTTGTTAAGTTTTTGTAAATACTTTTGTAAATAGTGTGTTTTAACATTTATTGGGAGCCTGTGGCCCTTATTCAGTGTCATGTCCAAGGTACTGAGTCATGTTTTCTAAAGCAGAATGGATGCTTCTGGCACAGCTTCACCTACTTCATAGGTGCATGTTTTGGCCTCTGGCTTTCATCAGGTCAAAATGGTTATGGCCATTATTCAACACCATGCCCTGGGTACTGAGCCAGTTTTCACAGGTAGTTAGATACTGATTTGGTGATATAAGTCTTTGTCTTCATTAAAATTGCAGTTTCGCTAGTTGGTGGGGGAATATGATCAGTAATGACACAGGAGAGTAATTTTAGTTTACAGTTTGCTTCTCCTATGTTAGTTCCCCCTTTTTTAATGTGTGTCATACTTTCCAGGCCCAGGTACAGGTGGCGAGGAGCCTGGGTCGTGCTGTTCCTCTGTCCCCACAGCTCATCTTTACCCCAGCTGCCACTGTGACGGCTGTGCAGTCAGACAGCTCTACGCAGGCCTCCTCACAGGTAATATTGCTGGAACGTATATTATCACTAATAATACAAGAGCAGTCTTTTATCTCGTCTTAACATCTTTTCCAGCTCCCTCTCGTAAATATAACTTTATACATTTTACACATATGTAGCAAAGCAGTAATCCATAAAAATAAATATTAAACTTACGAGCTTTAAATGAATTTCCAGCATTTTACAAATAAAATTCTTATGAACATAGTCAAAAAATCCACAGCTTAAGCCATTTGTGAATCTTGTCTCTCTTTTTGTATTTTGTCTTAAGAATCAGGTACAGAATCTGGCCATCCGTGGCCAACAGGGGGCGACAACATCCTCCTCTCAGACTCAGATGCCACAGGCTCTCAGTCTGAAGCAGACCCCTGTGCCTATCCAGCCTGCGTCACTGATCAAAAACCCAAGTCAAGGTACCCAGGCCTCAGCAGGGGGGAAGACCAGCTCCTTAGACAGTCCCTCTGAAGGAGGGAAGAAGTGGGACAGTGCAGCAGTCACAGAAGTCCGAGCTATAAACATGAGCCGCAGTGTCACCGCTGTGAATGCTCAGCCTCTGCTTGCTCCAGGTAAGAGAAGTTTGCATATCCACAACATTAAATCCCATCCATTAAAGAAATGTCTCTTACACAAGTGAGAGAAAAAAATAATAATGATGGATATTAGTGATGCAAATAACAAACCCAAAACAAATGGTTAGTTAACAGGTTGTTTTGTTTGATCTTTAAAAGTACAGGAAGTAATACTTTTCTTGTTTTACTTACTGCTGTCACTCTTTTTAATCAAGAAAATTGTCTGCAGCTCAACCAATATTTATTGATACATGCAGCCTTAATGTGTTTAATGTTTTGTGCGCTTGCCAAATTGTTTGCAACACAAAGTCTTAAAAAACAGCAATAAACTCTGTGTAAGATATCAAGATGTGCTTACTAGGTCTTGTTGAATATGAGTGTTGGTATTAAATGGCAGCATTGTGGTTCAATTGATGGCACCATTTCCTCACAGCAAGAGTGTCCTGGGTTGAAACCTTGACAGGGCCCTACTGTGTGGAGTTTTGTCTGGGTCCACTTAATACAAGTTAAAACTTGTGGCTCCACAGTGTAGTGGTTAAAACACATTTAACATGTGGAAGTTCAAGGCCAGGAGAAGGAGGGTTATGTCAGGGAGGGCATCTGGCATTAAACTCTCTTCTAAAGGCAGTGGTGACACTGCCATACACTCTAGACAATCTAACCAACATGTGCAAGCAACACTGTAGCATAACAGATTACATTTTAATGTCCCTAATCATGTATTGTAGCAACTTAAAAGCAGTCTTATAAACCAATGTTTGTCAGGTCACTGCTTTGATTCTGACTAAATTATATCAGCAGCTCGACTGGATTGCCATGAAATTATGCAGAGCAGAAATTGGTGGTCACAAGAGCATGAATCCTAGTGTCTCCACTGAGTTTCCTCTTCTGTGTTTCTTCAATCAAATTGTCTTATAGCCAGTAAAATCTTTAATCTTAGTGTATTTTAAATGCTGTTTCTGAGCACATCTTAGATAAAACTTCTTGTGCTGCTCATGCTATGTGTTCTGAATGCACCAATGTTTTCCTCTGAAAACATGTGGTCCACAGAGCATGTAAGCTCTAAAACTGCAGCGAAGTTATGGTTTCATTTTTGTGGACAGAAAAAGGAAACTGACAAACTGTTTGCCGGCGGCTGCATGCTTCTGTTATGTATCAGATGTACATTTCAAACCTCAAGAAAGATTTTGGCTTTGTGACAGCTGTCTTATATACATATACAGAGCTGTGCTCTAGTGTTTATAGTGAGATTAGATGAAAAGACATTTCACACATGGACATTTGAAAGCTTTTTCTTGGCTGTTGCCGTGACTTGTCGGGGCCTGGTTCACAAATCCATTCACTCACTAAATGGGTGAAACCAGCTCTATTAGAGACAGCGTGTTGGTTTTGTGTCTGGAACAGTCTTGCTGCTTTGTGAATTAGAAGCTGTGAAAGGCACACTGCCATGCAAGAGTGTTTTTAAACCACTTATTGTGTAATTGAAAGTCAGCAGCTGTTTTTTGTTTTTTTTTAAATGTTTTTTTTCCCCTTTTTAGCGTGAATGGTTGTGAATGTTCTAGCAGCACAAGCTGATTACGTCAAATTAAGTCCCATTTGTTTGCATGATAAGTAACCTTTAGATGCATTTTAAAGAGGGTCCTCATAGGAAATCACATCTTACAAAATAATTTGTCTGTCTGTGCATGTGCCATATTTATGTCTGTATGACTGCATGGCTGTAACACTCTTTACATTTATGGTTGGTGTGTGTGTGTGTGTGTGCGCGCGTGCGCACTTGGGCTTGTGTGTTTGTGAAGAGAGGGGGAGGTGGGGATTATCTGTGCACGTCGGTGCACAACTGTGTCTTGCTTTGTTTCAGTAATAGATTCGCATAAAATGAAAGGGAGGATGGAAGCTGAAAATCTGGCAGCATGCTGTCTGGGGGGAAAAAATTACCATGGGTTGCCATAGCAGCAGCCCACGAGGGACAGGTGTGCACATGAGATGCTGGGGAGTTATTACTCTGTGGATCAGGAAGAGAAGAGGCAGCGTGGCTGGCTGATGGGATTCGGATTAGGATAAAAGCTTGGATTCAACTTGACTGTGGCTGGGTCAAGATGCACTTTGCTTTAGAGGGTAAAATTGGTAATAGAAGGGAGCAGCCATTATTTTTAGCTGCAGGAAACCAGAGATTTTGCTCCATGTTGTTGGTGGGTAATTTCACCCCCTGAGGATGGTTTTGGTTCATGAAAGATTGTAGAGGTAATTGCTACTTAGCATTTTATGTAATTGATCAGCAATTTTAGTGATTTTAGTCTTAATAAAATTATGACACTTAACTGTTGCATTTCAAAAGTAGCTCATTGCTATTACGCACCAGGAAAATTTAGATATGAACTCAGCTAGTGGTTTTGCACAGTCCACATTCTTGATATCAATTATTAATAGTTTCAGTTGGCAAATGAACCACCTATAACGTTGCAATGTTGCTAACTTTGTTGCTAGTTACTACACAGACATTGACTGATATTAGACGTTTAGCCCAAATTCACCTAATAAAAAGGGGTGGTGAATTTATGCAGGAGGCTTGCAGACTTTAGAAGTGTTTAGAAGTGTAATATGGTAATTATGGTTTTTGCACAAGTAAAAGGAATAATTAACCTTCAATAATTCAATAACCTTGCTTTAATTATTTTTTATGTTTCAAAAAAGAATACAGTACATACAATATTGCATATTTGCAGTGATTTTTGTTTTAAACAGGACACTCCCGGCCAAACAAGGGGTGAAAAATATCCATCATAATTTCAGATTGATAAATGGATTCATAAGTAGTAGAGCAGGGTAATATGACCAAAAATATTTATCACGATATACATTTGAAAATTTGTGATAACGATATACTTGACACTAGACAAAATACTTTACAACTCCACAACTTTATTAGTGCAAAAAAAAAAAATCAATGTATTTTCACTTAAACAAGCAGCTGTTTTTGTTTTTTTTTTAATTGTTTTTCTTATGTGCGTTAAAGTTATATAAAAATGTAACAGTGCAAATGCAAATTCCTTGCTGACAGTTTAACCAAAAAGCATTTCCAGTGGAAACTGGCCGACATATCCTCAGCATAACCATGTATAATATACACAAAACTTAAAAAGAAGTTATACACACACAATACGGTAATGTTATGTTGAAGCGCAGTACGTATCACTCCGCGAGGCTCCTGACTACGATAGCCGTAATGCTCTGACAATCCATCAAGCGGTGCGGCTTCGTAGCTTAGCAAAGTCGTACTAAAACATTTGACAGATTTTCGAGCACCGTGTACCACATAAAGTAATTTCGAAGTCGGTAAACACAACCAGAATTCATACATAAGGTTCACAGGATTATAAGGGGCACTGTCGATTTCCAGAAAAATCAAAGGATTGATTTTAAGTGTGCCGTATTTTCCAAAAAACACGGTAATAACGACGGCCCACTAGCATGCTCTACCAAAAATAGAGCGTTGTTGTGTATCTGACAGACGAAAGCTAACCCAGTTCCACACCACTGAAGTTGCAGCATTTTTTACAAACCAATTCTGGTTCATCCGTTTCATTCAACGATCCGCTTTCGCCCTTCTCATTCGCCGTCGCCGCCATATGCGTATGAAAACAAAGGCACTGCGCATGTGCGTTTGACCCATATTCTATCGCGATATTTCATTTTCTTATCGTTGCCCAACATTATACCGGTATTACCGTGAACGGTATAATATGGCTCAGCCCTAATAAGTAGGGTTAATAATTCATGTGAAGGATGCCTTACAGCCTCCCAAAGTGAAAAAGAAAGAGATAATAGATGCAGTTAAATGGTTGGTGTGCGCAGCATGTGTTAGTATGTATTACCCAAACATAAACTTTAGGTTACACAAGCTTAGCAGCTTGCCCTGGTCCTCTATGGTCTTCATTCCGGCCTTTCACCCATTTTGCTCTTGTGGAGGTAGTCCACCTGTCAGCTGTGTCTCACAGTCAGACAAACTCCAGGTTTTGAGTCCTCTTCCCGCTCTGGAGGGCCGCTCCAACCAGAACCTGCAGCAGGCTGGAAAAGAGTTTCATGTGTGACAAAGACTAAAAGATGCAGTTGGAATAGATCCACTCACAAAAGTGTCAGCTCATTTGTGCCAATTATAGTCACAAAGTATATATTGTATTACTCTATAATTCATTTAACAAAACGGACTTGCACCTCCCATCAAAAGACTCCTATTCGTGTGCCCTTGTTATCGCCACAAATAGAATCTTAAGAAAAAACAAACACCTGACGTGTCTCATTTCTACCAAATCTGTGTTAAATCTAACTCAGCACAGAACAAATTGATTAATTGTGGTTACACTGAGAGTTTGTCAGATTCACATTCATGGGAATTGAGGAGGAAGCAAATGTTAGGCCGTCTGGCTTGATGCAGCAAGTGTATGTCTGTCATCACCTTCTCTCAGCAACAAAGAGCCGGCACCACACTATAAAACCACAGCAGGGAAACCCCATCAGCACTAAAAAACTGGAAAGATGAAAACTTTTTTCTTTTTTTAAGGGGTACTTATGTATAAAACCTTTACTGTACTGTAAGTTTTGAAGCCAGTTGAGAACTGGATTCATGGAGCTAATTTTCCTTGATAAACAATCTTCAATCCTTATTTGGAATTGTATTAAAATTAGGAAAGATGACTCAAGGTCTACTGTTGCTGTGGTGTTGTTGGTCAATATTTTTCAAGATGGTAAGCCAAAGCAGGAGTCAGTGAAAATGTGGAAACTCTGGGGTTTTCCAGGGCCTGGTGCTGCAAAAGCTGGAAGGAATGCATACTGTCCTCAATTTCAGGACATTGCACGGCAATACACAGAGTAAGAACTCTACAAACATTCGCAAAGTTGGGGGTGGAGGGAGTGGGCTTCCGCATACTATAGACTATATGATTTGTATGTATATATTGGTGTGGGGTGCCTGAGTAATTCCAGTCCTTAATCTTAAGGCCTTGAGGGGGAATAACATTTAAACGAATTTCCAAATCTTCCTCTTCTTTCAAGACCTCTTTCTGTTACTCATTAGAGGCTTGAGAAAGATGTCAGGATTCATGCGAAGGGGCTGATTGTATCCGGTGTGTACTGATTCAGAAATCCCCCTCCTCCTCCCTTACAGAAGGCTGAGAGTCTCTTGATACTGCAAGTTTGACGCAGTTTAACCCCCGCAAGGGAGCTTTCTGCTGCTGTTTGTTCTTTGATCACATTACAATAGAATAATCATTAATAAAATAGGTAAATGTGCACACCATTTGTTAACTATTGAATATGGCAACCAACAAGTTAAAGACAGACATACATGTAGCAGGCTCTGCTACTGTAATTGGTCCTTTCCTGACTGTTTTATATCTTAAGATGGTCAGTTTGTAATGACAGAATTATACTCAGCCTCCAATACCCAACGATCAGTTAAACTCAACAACAACAAGCACTAACTTTGAGTAGCCGCCTTCTTGCTACATTCAAGACTAAGAACAGCAGACTGTGGCTCCCTCATAACTTTGGAGCAACATCGGAAAATGGAAAATGCAAAAACAAACTTGCTTTTCTTGACAACTTGTGGTGTTTGGAGGTAGTAGGTTGACTTCACAGCCAGAGCTGTCTTAAAATTATTACACTATTTTGTAACATCAGTGGATGTTACACCACAGTGGGTCATACAAACTCATGTTTCTGCTGTGGGAAGATGTCCGATGTTAAAATCAATTCAAAACAATCTCATTTTCTGGTCCATTTACTTGGTATTTACACAGTATGATTTTATGTAGCATGTCTATCATCATCGTCATTCTACCACTTTGTAGAAAATCCAGTTTGAAGAAATATTTGAGTTCAGAACAAATGTTCATGTTATCCAGGAGATTAAGAATCACCACAGTCAGTAGGTTTATTTTTATTTTAGTGCAACCATAAGGCTGCACTAAAACAGGGTTTGTGTCTTTAAAAAAATGGATTTCTATGGAATTTGATGCTCGCAATCATCATGTAGAGCAGGGGTGTCAGACTCATTTTAGCTCATGTGCTGAATACAGCCCAATTTGACCTCACACAGGCCTGACCAGCAAAACCACAGCATAATAACCCATCAAAAAAAACCCCTAAACTCTCAAACCATTCCCATTCAGCTTTGTCTCGATTGTTTCACATTTGGTGTGTGTTTTTAAAAAGCTACTGTTTTAACTTAAAGAAACGCGTCAGTGTGGCTCCTTGGCTTAACCATCTTTGGGGTGGTTTTGGCCGGCAGTGTGTAATGTCTTTGTCAGCAGGAAGGCTGTAAAAACTGGACATGATTCAGAGCTCTGGCTTGAATGGCAATTAATGATTAGGACACTCTCATGAACTATTCTTGTGCTCCGCTTATCTGTAGTTTTCACACTTTATGAACCCTTACAGGAGGCCTGATCAGATATTTGTGGGAGACTTGTTGTAGAGTTGTTGTAGACTGTTAACTTTGCTTTTCTACACTTATTTATTTTGGCTGTCTCAAACAAGAAGACAGTTGAGTAAACTTTATTTAGTAAATTAAAGTTGCTAAAATGGGAATGAATGGACTTTTGTCTGCCGTGTCCATGACCAACACAAAACTTTAAGTTTTTATTCTCTTCTACCACACAGACTCTTTACATTAAAAATATGCTTTAAATGAAAGGCTTTGGGGCTGTGATGCTTGAGTTGACAAAAAAAGCATGTCTCCACTCATTTCTTTTTCCCACCCATGGGCATAGTTGTTGAGTTGATGGATATAATTTTCCACGGTCTGTTTTTAAAGTTTGTTTTTTTTTTAAATCCCTTTTAATGGTTAGCATCTAGCTGGCTTTATCCACCCATCCACATCTTATATTTATCCTTCTCTTAACATAATAAATATTAACTGAAGGTTTTCATCGACGCCACAGCTAACCAAATTTTCTGTCAGTGGGTTCCACTGTGTCTCACCATGTGAAAATGAAAACTCTTCTCAGCGGTCCTCGTACCATTAAAGGGACTAATGACATGCAAACTCTGCTGGATAGAAATGTCTATATTTTCCACGGCAGGGTACAGAGTGTGGTTACTGCCTCACAGGGAAACTTTGAAACCAGATGGAGCCTGTCCCACACGAAACAATGCGAAAAGAACAGGGGGGCGGAGGGAGGGGCCGAGGGGGATCTAAGACAAACACTGATGCACTTGGCAGTTTTCCACTCTGGGATTTACTGTGATGTTTATTAACATAACCAGATGCACCTCTAGGTTCACATGGCTTATATAGCAGGACCTGCTGTTTAGTAGTTTTCAGGGATAACTCTTCATTTTGGGGGGAGATTTAGAAAAAACAGATTTTTTTTTCTTTGTTGATAAAATTCTTAGAAATCAAGGAGGTGTGTGAGATACTGGTACCCACTGACTCATCCTTAACTCTATACAGGGTGTCATAGATAGTTGGCTCTGCATGTTTCTTCCTGAGGCATTTCTAATATTAGACTAGCCTCAGGCTACTTCCAAAGAACACTCTCCCACTCGCACATGCTCCCACAATACAAGATTGATGTGCTGTGTCTTGGGCTTGGGGGCAAGTTATGAGCTCAGGATGTCCTTTTACCCACAGCAGCACTGACAGGTGGTGACAAGCCATTTTAAAACTATTTGTGAGTAATGGTCTGGCCAACACTGCAACAGTGGGCCTCTCTATGCACCTTTCAACAAGCTCTTAATATTATATCCTGTCAACAAGGGACTTACAGGTGAAGGCGCTGCAAAACAAGCTCTTTTGTGCAGACGTCTACATTTTTCAGTGTTTATGAGCCTGAGGCGCAGTTCTCCGGATATCAAGAGTTTGGACAGTTGTCAGCATGCATGAAATAAAGAATGCTCATTGTATGACAATAACTTGCTTTGTAAGAATATTTATGAACAGTTCTTTTTCTTACCAAATAGTTTTACCAAATAATCCTAGCTGAAATAAAATCACTTTCAGAAATAAGTGTTTGTGTTCTCGTTCCAGCATACACCCAGATTCAGCCGCATTCTCTGGTTCAGCAACACAAGCAGCAGCAGCAGTTTGTGGTTCAGCAGAGCCAAGGTTCCCAAAGGACGACGGGCCAGCTGCTGCAGACGGCCTCCGTTCAGCCGTCACAGCATCCTGTCCCCGTGCTGCCCAAACCTGCTCCTCACCAGCCCTCTACACCGAGCCAGCAGGCTACCATCTTCCACTCCACTATCAGCCCACATGCCCTTCACTCCTCCCTCAACCATGCCAAAGCTCAGCCTGTCCAGCTCACTGCCATCAACCTACAAATCCAGCCAACGGTACGTACACAAACGCAGATTAATGCCACACACAAAAGAGCTTTAAGACAGGATTTTTCTAGGTTGTGAAAATGCTGCAAGTTTGACACAAATGGGCAGCCTACCCATAAATAAACGGTTATAGCAGGTCAAAAACTCCACAGATCATTTTTCAAGGAGGCTTCTTATGCTTTACCTTATTGTCTCTTGTTTATTTGCAATGACAGTGGTGGGCACTCATATTAAACGTGGTCATCACTTTAAATAATTGTGCGTAATCCCTGTGAGTCACAAACTCAGACTTAAAACTGCTCTAAATGCTCAGTTTTAGACATTTTTTCCCATTCTTGGATCTTTATAATGGCAAGGTGAGCAAATGTGTCTAATATGGTGATCTTACTTAATTACCTGCTGTTTAAACTATGTCTGACTGCTAGCTCATCTGAAAAAGTTGACTTTAACCTGAGAGGATGTGGTAGCTGAATCTAGGGGCTACACCAAATCTCAGCAAAATGTAAATGAGGATTATTTTGAAGAGTGTCCTTGAAATGAATGTAACCCATCTGTTTTAAGTAAAATCACGATTAGATGTGCAAAGCTATTTGCGTTCAAATTTTTGAGACTTTATTTTCTAATATGAAAAATGTCAATTCAAGAAGTCAATTCTCCAAAGTGAACTTTTCACCTGTGTCCTACCTGTAGATATAAAACCACAGGAAAATATCTCTCTCAGAGTAATGCTATCCTTTTCAAAATTGCGTAATGAATGTGTTTAAAGTATTTTGAGTTCTGGTACACGTTCTGCAATTTGGTATTTTGACAGTGGCAACCAGCTAAACAAAAACTACTTTTACAGCAGTTCCACAGTCTTCATTTCTTCTCTAAGAGACACAAAGGGAAAAAACCCAAAAAACACAGGAATCTTCACAGTATTATATTTTCCCCCTCATGTAATGTTTTCCAAAGCTGATGGATTTCAATTTTTCAGTCCCTGATGTTTGTTGTTTTATCTCAGATGTCTTCTTCTCACACTTTTTGTTTGTTTCTACTGCACTTCCCAGGCCTCCCGACTACTTCAGGACAGTAAAGATAAGCCGACCTCACTGGTAGTCAGAGAGACATGTCAGACCCCATCCACACAGCAACAGCAACAACCACAACAGCAGCAACAGCAACCTGCAGCTTCTCCATCCCAACCCTCCAAGCCTGTAGAGCAGTCCAAGGTTGACTTAGCCACACCAGCTGTTCAGCAGCAAGGTAGAGACTCAGTGGGATTTTCTAAGCTGAAAGTCTTATTAACAACATAATTTATGTACTTGCCTCTGGGACGACATTACTAGTAGGAGTTAAACAACTGTTAGCTACAAATTTGCGCCTCGACAATTCAGCCATCTCACATCTGATGTCTTTAATCTGTTCACTTGCATAATGAAGGAAGATACATTTTTGTTCTTACATCAAAACATGTGTTATCAGCTCATTCACACTGCTCTTCTTATTGTTTTCCATATCTGTGGTCATGACTTCACCCTAACCACTCATCTTATGAATCAGAGGGGGTTTCTGCCAAAGGTGGTATGATAATGAATCCAGTTTTTCACTCTTTTCCAGCATACATCAATCACATAGACATTTGTTGATTTCATTATGGGTAAACTGATACATCAAAATGATAATAGAAACTTTAAAACGTTTATATATTATATCCTTAATTCTGCTAGATTAAAAATCTTTTTCGAGAGGTACACCGTCAAGAAGGAAACGGATATTCTAATAATTGTAAGCACAAAAGAGCACACAGTGGTAACTGTTAAACGCTACAGATAATTTAACACACAATTCAGATTATAAGCAATTTTACAATCAAATAAAATCAAGATCAAAACTGGTAGAACAAGGTGCTCGATTGTAACCTCTTCTGATAATGTCCGCTCCTTCTGTAAGCTCCTGCCTTGTTTTGGCACATGCTGTCTGCTGTCGAGTTGTGTAATACTCACCTGGCCAATAGGGAGCAGTTGACATCGAAATGTGTTTACATTTGTATAGTGTGCTAAAGTTTTTACACCACAAATATACCAGATCCCACTAACTATGGCCTTAGTCCTAAAGTATCAGCTAACCTAAAGTATAGCAGTTTAACAAAATGACAAATACAAGCTGGCTTTCTGTCTCTGTGTTAACCTCATAGTAGCCTACCAACTTTTGCCATATGACTGCTAAGATGGGCTGCAGCCCCACCATGACCCTGAGTTGATAAATGGTTAAAATGTTTCCCTGACACTTGGGGTTTGCTTTAGTCTTAACCTTTAAAATTGTTATTTTAATTGCATGTTTTTCTAGTTATCATTTTGATTTTATTGGGGTTGCATCCATTCACTGGCACACTGGCACTTTTCACTTTGGGCAGGAACTCTGGGATTTACATCTCATTTAGTTTCTTTCACTTATGGGAAGTTTACCAGTCCTTTTTTCTACCTGTCTTTTTCTTTGTGGTAGTTTTCAAGTCTTGCACCTTCTCTTTGGTGACGGGCAATTTGACACTATCGTCATGCGTTTCCTACACACTAATCTTTATTGTCTCGTTCATAGTCATTTAGTAAAACACATACTTTCAAAAAGTGTACGTCTCTGACAAAGGAGACTGAAGTATTGCCTTAGAATGTGTGGGGTGGAGATGCACAGTTCCACATAAGCTCCTTGTCCATTAGTACCAACCTTAGGTGATAATACCAGGTACTGTTTTTGTACTTACTCTGCTGGGGTTCCAAACGATTCGAGGGGATGTCAGCACACTGCACGCAACCTATTGGTTTGTCAGTGGCGTCACACAATCAGTTATGAGGGCGTCTCCTTCACGAAAATCAAAACCACCACTTTGTTGTGGCGTTCGTGTCACATACTAATTAAGTCACAGGACGCTTGGCTGCGTTGCTATAATAACCCCAAGCACATTAGGTGGTACTCGATTGTAATAGAAAATGAGTTGAGTTGTACCCCGCATCGAGCTGATCTGAGTAGGTACTAATCGAAAAGGGGCGATAAAGGATATTTAGGCACCCATTTGGGGAATGCTTTGAAACCATGTTTTGCTTCTGTGGAGTAATTCATTAAATTAAGTGCGGACCAAACTGTCTAAATAGTGTGGAGATGATTCCAATATGTGTTCTGGGGAATTTCTTTGTGTGTGGGGGTAGAGTGTATATTGGGGGACTTGGATGGCCCGTGTAACTCTAAAATCCTCTTTGCGGCCCTGCTGAAAAGCATGACTTTTGTGGCAGGGTTATTTGAGGATTGCTTGCATTTTCAGTGAGAGACTGGTTGAAGTCTGTGCCAAAAAGAAGATATTTCCTGCAGTAGGTTGAAGCTGGAGGCTCTGTGCTGGTTTGTGTTGTTGTGCAGCAGCAGCAGGCGGAGTGAGGAGGATCAGAGCTACTAACGTGGGAGGAAACGGGGAGGCGGGGAGATATTTACTTGAAGCGGCGCTGCAGCTTAAAGTCGCGCACAACAGCGGCAGGCTGGCCTGTCGGAGCAAAAACAAACAGCAAACCGCACGTGCTTTCTGACTGAGCAGAGCGGAAGTTGCGCGGTAAGAAAACGCTTTCTCATTCAATCCAGTCGGATTTTAGGGTGACAAAGCGCAGAGGAGCGGTGTTTACTTTCGCTTTGGAGGGGGTTTTCACAAAAAGCCGAAGCGTCTTTGTGGCGGTGCAAGCGACAGATGTGGGGTGGTTGCGTTGATGTTGACTGGTACACTGTTACAGGAGGTCAGTGCGGGATCGTTTAGGTCTGCCGGCAGATGAGCAGGTGGATATGACTGCGCTAATTTGCCTGAAAGTGACCGTAATTTGACATTTGAGATTGCGAAATGTAGTCGCATTAGTCCTCGGTGCTGTTATATGAAGACAGACATTTACGATGTTGCAAATAATACTACTAACAACTACTACTACTAATTACTAATACTAATGATAATAATAACAATAACAATCATAACAACAATAATAATAACAATAACAATAATGACGATAATAATAATAATAATAATAATAATAATAATAATAATAATAATAGGCTTCGTGTTCTCAAAGGTTTAGCCTTTAAATTTATGGCTGCAACTAATTACGTTATTCATAAATTTATTTATCTATAAAACATAACAAACAAAACAAAGTTTATGTTTGCTTGCTGCAAACCGCAGAGGTGTCAACTCCATTGTTATCACACACTCAGTGGCCACTTTATTAGGTACAGCTTGCTACCTTTTTGTCTTTACAGCTTCTCTAATTCTTTGTGCCATAGATTCAACATAATTCTTGACACATTCCTTAGAGTTTGATCAGTTAACGATGTCAGCATCACAGGTTTTGCAGATTTATCAGCTGCACCTCAATCAGATGAATCTTCCATTTAAACACATCCAAAAGGTGCTCTGTTGGACTGAGATCTGGTGACTGCAGAAGCTATAAGAGTACACTGAACTCATTGTCACGTTTAAGAAACCAGTTTGACTTGATTGGAGCTTTGTGTTATCCTGCTGGAAACGACCCCCAGAAGATGCGTATGCTGTTGTAATAAAGGGATTTGGATTTAGTCAGCAGCAATACTTTGGTAGGCTGTGATTATTAAAGGATGCTCAGTTGGTACTAAGGGGCTGAAATATTAATTTCAATTCATTTATATAGCACCAAATCACAAGAATGATCTCTAGCAGTGGGGAGGCTGAACAAGCCAGGATGCTTTCATGTTGTTTTTGCAAAATTCTGGCTCTACTATTTGAATGTTACAGCAGAAATCCAGACTCCTCAGACCAGGAAACCTTTTTCCACTCTTCTGTTGTCCAGTTTTGGTAAACACATTAAGTGTGTTGCTTCAGTTTCCTGTTCCTAGTTGACAGAAGTGGCACCTGGTGTAGTCTTTTGCTGCTGTAGTCCACCTGTTTCAAGTAGAGCTTGACCACTGTTGGACTTTGGATACCGATGCCTATGTTTGATGATTTAAAAATCCCATATTCCAATATGTTTTTTTATTTTCTATCTTTCAGACACACAGACAGCTTTTCCTAACATTTATTATTTATAGTTATTTCTTTTTTCATTCATGCCCTGCTTTGATCAGCTGATTGTTTGTAATGTTTTGAACTTGTTGCCAACAGGGGAGGTTGCAGAGTGCCCTCTGGTGGTTAACATGGTTGGGGCTCTTCTCCTGTGTCTTATTTACTTTTCATTTATTGGCTGTTATAAACGCCAATAGTGGTAACAAAAGGCTTACGGCGGCTGATATTCCAACAAAATCGGTTAGGCTTGAGTTCTTAACTGATAAGAGTGGCACTTGGCAGGGTCTTCTGCTGCTGTCACTCATCTGCTTCAAGGCATACTTTGTTTGTAATGACTGGTTATTTTGGTAAATCTTCTCTGACCGCTGACATCAACAAGGGATTTCTGCCCAGAGAACTGCTGCTCACGCGATGCGTTCTCCTTTTTGGAGACCCTTCGTATAGCCTAAAGCTGGTCGTGTGGGAAAATCCAGTAGATCAGACATGTTTAAAGTCACTTTAATTACCTTCGTTCTCCGTTCTGATGCATCAATGTTATTGGAAGATTGCATTAAACAGTTAAATTGATGTTCATTAATGGAATTCGCCAAAGTGGATGGCGAGTGTAATAAATTGTAATTATTATAATTTAAGAAACTGAGATGGGTTACTGTTGAACATTTTCACTTAAATGTGATGCAGATTTGATGACATGATTACTTTTATTAAATATGCTTGATAAAATTTCCCCAAAATTAAAATGGGAATGAAATGCTTGGTTTTACAGCTGAAGTTTTGTTTGTTTCATGTGTTTTTAAACATGAAATTATAGCAAATGCCATAATATGTCCAGCATAGTGTCTGCAAATGTGTTGTTTGTAATGATCTCAGCATTGTCTGCAGCACATGCACACGTAGCATCACAATAAAATGATTCATTTTAAGTACAATGTTAACAAAATTATTAAACAAATACTCTATGGTTTCCTTTTCAATATTACTCTAACACACTGTATTTATATTTATGTGCATAAATATGTATACAATCCAATATATTTATATTTCCAATGTAGTATATTGGATAATTACATAAAATGTTATATAATTATGATTATATGAAAATCTGACATTTCTATTGAAAAACAAACAAAAGGAAAAGGACTCCAGCTCTACTTGTCTTGCTTAACCAACAATGTACAACCAAAAAATATTCAGCTTATCGTAGAAGCATTAACCATTCAAATCTGAAAATGTAATCTGTCTTTTCTGCTTTTCTAAATGACTGAAACGATCATCAGCTACTTCTTTTTAAGCTTTAATTTCATTCAAACTGAAACATTTCTCAATGGATACGTGCTCCTTTGTATTAAATAGACCCATTTTGTTTTTGTTTTCTCTCTCCATCAGGTGGGGGTACAGCGAAGAGGCCGAGTGCAGCAGTGGGGACCCCACCTCCAGCCATGACCTCAGGAAATGAGAGCGAGGCGCCCACCGTGACGGGCAGCACGCCACAAAACGGAGAGAACAAACCACCTCAGGCCATCGTCAAGCCCCAGGTCCTCACACATGTCATCGAAGGCTTTGTCATCCAGGAAGGAGCTGAGCCGTTTCCCGTGTGTGTAAGTGCTCAATCTCGGCAATACTGGCAGACAAACATGATAAACAACCCAAAGCCAGCACCGTCTCCAGTGTACACGCCTGCAGGGAACTGTCAGCAGGCAAACACATACCCTCTGTTACTGCTAGCAGTGACATCGTACAGCTTCTGTTTGATTCACTCGTTAATTACAGGGAGATGAGACCCTGTGAATGGGAAAGAATACAGATGGAAGAAGGTAATGAGCAGCGCTCTGTAGTCAGTTCATTTAATCAAGGGCATTAAAATCCTTCCTTAATCTGTGTAGTCATCTCCCTTGAAATTGGTTCATTATTATCTCATATTGTTTGTACAGTTTAACATGTGCTTATATATTAATGTTTGTATCTTCTCAATTGTATTAGTCATTAGGGGGGAAAAAAGTGTAGTTTTAATTTCTAGGCTTTGGCCTCTCTGCCTCCTACTGGACATTTTGTGAAAATGCTCTATATACATGCACACATGGCTAAACAAGCAGATTGCATTTCCAATTTTTAATCAACACACATGAAAATAAATAAAATGCAGTATTTATGAAGATGCGTACACATGTGATGACACACAGAGCTGAGGATTATTTTTCCTTTTATAGTAATACATTTTTTATTCATTTTATGACTCAAATGAATCTGATTACATTTTCCACCTCAGTGTTCTGTCAATTTAAAAAAAGAAAAAAAAAGGGGGGGGGAAAAGAAGAAGAATAAATTAAACACTGAGTATATATTTCTTATGATGCCAACACTGTCCTGTAAAAGAACTTGATTGTTAACAGTTAGCTGTTACTTTATATACGCTGGTATTCAAGTTGCTTTATGTGCCGTATGGACAGGAGAATTAACTGTATGCAAGCTTCATGTGTGCGACATGCAATGCTTGAAAATCAGACTACATTGACGTGAACATGTCAAGTCTACATTATCAGTTTAAATGGTCACTGTGTGTGGTGGTTTAACAATGATGGTGTTTATCTGTTATTTTTGTGATCGCTATATATTCAAACATTAACATCCGGAAGACGAAAACATTCAGTTGGTGACCACTGTTTCCTTTTAAGTCTAAAAGGTTTAACTTGTAATGGCCAGCAGTCAGCTGACTTTAAAAAAAAAAAAAAAGTCATCTCATCAATACTACGGTAATGAGGCGCAGTGGGGCTGTGCAGTGAAACAGCTGCCCTGATTTCCAGGTTATTATTTGGAGTAGCAGCAGTCTTTGTGTTAATGTTGCTGCGGCGACAGAATGCAGCTGTTGTGATAAAGCAGTCCAGATGTAAACCCTTAAACCACACCCATTGTTTCTTGTTACTGTTGTGTGCAGCGTTTCATTTTTAGTCCATTTATAAATATTTTATGCCCCACACCAGGTGGAGCGTCTGCCCATTCTCATCGATAGTCCAAAGAAGCTGGACCATCAGCTCTCATCTGACCCGGACAAAACTCCGGTCAGCAACGCAGCCAACACAGACTCCGAGCCCGAGGACATGAGCCAACCAGGTGAGACCAAACACATTACAGTGTAGATTGTGTATATTTCCTTGTGTAGCTTCACCAGGTTTTGGAGGTGTTAGTCTGTCGCTCCTGATTTTTCCTGCCAGGGTTTCACATAAGGTTAAAGGAATTCACTTTACAATGATCATCCTCTCATAGTATTGGAAGGTGTTACGAGCAGACACCGACCCAACAGACAGAAACTCTGACCCTGGTGTGTCCGTAGAGTTTATTTAACCATGTAAACTGCATTTTGCTCCTCTTCCCCAACAGTCAAACCCCACACTTCTAAATAATGTAGACCCTCTGGAAGTGTTTTTAACTCAGTTGCTGGAAGTTCATTATTAATTAGATGTTCTGTCAGTTCCTGTTTCCTGATACATGCTTCTTTTTTACCTTTGTCTAACATGTTGTAACAAGTTGTCCATTTATAAGTTAGAAAAAGACCTATGTAGAAAAGTGTTGAAAATATCGGAAACGGTGTGGAGTAGATATTTGGCAACACTAGCTAATGTTGACATTTGTGGTTTTGCTGCAAATGCCTGGTTTTTTTTTGCCTTCACTTTAATGTGGGGAGGAAGTGCCATCAGTAGCTTTACAAGGGTTGACCAACTGATGTAAACAAAGCAGACCAGACTCACTGCACTCGCAGAGAAATCTCTTGAAAGAGGTTCAAAACAATGTAGGTTTGTATGTATTTGACTTCTGCACCCTGAGCCTTAACCATCTCATGACTCTCCATCAGAAGTAGAAATAATGCTTTAACATTGGGCCCCGAATAGTTTAGATCAGCGGTCGCCAACCTTTTTTGCGCCACGGACCGGTTTATGCCTGACAATATTTTCACGGACCGGCCTTTAAGGTGTCGCGGAAAAATACAACAAAATAAAACTAGTACCGGTACTGAAAAAAAGAAGATTTATTCATAACACACGTGAAAAGACCCAGGAAGACCGAGTTAAAGATAAAAAACCGATAAAAACCCTGAAAATTATACATTTCACACCTGAGCCTCAACTCTCGCGGCCCGGTACCAAATGACTCACGGACCGGTACCGGTCCGAGGCCCGGGGGTTGGGGACCACTGGTTTAGATGTGCTACCTACAGTTTTAATTTTCTGCACGCCTAGTATTATGTCTTTTTTTTTTTTTTGTTCAGAAGAAAGTCTAATACTTGACATGTGTGTTGTGTTTATGCTGCTTCCTCTCCCCCAGAAAAAGATGAACCCAAGCTGACGTGTGAATACTGTGGCTGGGTTGATTTTGCTTACACATTCAAAGGCTCTAAAAGGTTCTGCTCGGTGGTTTGTGCAAAGAGGTAAGTAACCTTGGCTTCTTTTTCTTTCATGTGAGAAAATAGCAATTTTTCCATTATGTTCACAAAAAAGGAATTTAAAAATACACATATATATATATATATTTATTTGTATGAACAGATACAACGTAGGCTGTACGAAGCGAATTGGACTTTTCCGTCCAGAGAGGAACAAACCAGCAAATCGCTGGCGTCGACGGTCTCAGGGCCGCCCCAGTATTGAGGCAAAAAAGCAGGTAAAAACATGCTTCTTAACTGTCATAAAACTTCCTCATCAACACTTTACCTCTCATCAGATACTGCTTCTGCTGCACATTTTAAACCCTGCACTTTTCATGCCTCTTGCTTTTTAATGAAGTTGAACATAATTTGTGTGAGCCCGATTATCTCCCTCTGTCTTTAAAGGGTCATTAAGTACTCGATGATCTTCATCAGCCTTTATTGGTGACCGGCAGAAATGTGAGAGCATTAGTAGAGATTTTCTGCCTTTTGCACAAGTTATATAGATGTAGATAACAACTGGATTCACAGTTTTCTCCCCACACGTCAAAGCCTTCTTTTGGGACGTAACACATTATCCTTTAACTGATCTTAAAGAGAAGCAGTTTAGGTAATTACAGCAGAAATTCAGTGGAAAATATAAAGCAAGCATTTTACACCACAATAGTAAAATGTGGTGGAAAATGTTCTTTTTGAATCAAGAGCTTTTTAGTATTTTATGGCCAGCTTATGTAATGTTATAAGGATTCAGCTTTAAACCTCCAGTGGGGGGTGCTTTTGTGTCATGTATACACCAATATGCTTAGGGCTTTGCAATTCAAAGACAAAGTGATCTTTGAGGCAATGGTATTGATCCATTAATCCCCATCATATCCCTGCAGGTGTATTATCGGCATTTAAACCTATTGTACCCTACAAATCTTACTTATTACCCCTTTTAATCTTTGCGTTGACTTTTATATTGACCTGGGAGTGTTTTACTTATGCGCTATCCTTTTCTTAAATGTAACAATTGATGTCACTCCTGTTTGTATTGCTTTGCAGAAGCTGGCCTTGTCACCACAGCAAACTCAGGGCGGTTCTATATCCTCACCACATCCCTCCCAGCCCAGTCAGGAGGAATCCAGCCCGTGTTCAGACATGTCAAGCTACGAGGAGCCACCGTCTCCCATGTCAGCAGCCAGCTCTGGACCTTTGGCTCCTGCCCCGGCTCCAGCCCAGGTCCCTGTCCGCCGTCAGCCGAGCAGGGCCTCGGACCAGGAGGCCTGCGTTGGGATAGATGGAGCACCGCTCTGTCAGCGCTTCGTACCCAACGACCCCACCAAATGGAATGTGGAGGAGGTTTATGAGTTCATTCGTTCACTACCAGGTGAGTAGGCTTTGCTAAGAAGGCACAATCATAATGCTTTATACTCCGATGTGTTCCGTGTATGAAACCTGTTTACCTGTTATTAACTGTAGCTCGTGCCTCTGCTGTTTTCACAGGTTGCCAGGAGATAGCAGACGAGTTTCGCTCTCAGGAAATCGATGGACAGGCCTTGCTCCTGTTAAAGGAGGACCACCTGATGAGCACTATGAACATTAAGCTGGGACCTGCACTCAAGATCTTTGCACGCATCAACATGCTCAAAGACTCTTAGCAGGAAACCGTGTGTGTGTATGGGTGTGTCTGTTTGTGTGTATTTGTATATTATAGCACTGATGGCACAGAGTACTGACTGCACTGTGAGCAGGCCTGTTCCATTACTGGACTGGTTCCTGTCATCCAGAATCTCACTCAAGCTTGACTCGACCTCCCAAACCAGATCATACTCACCGGCATCAGCTCAGTGGCCTTGTGACCATTTAGGCTTCTGCTTGGTAACGTTAGAGTGACGTGTCAGACACTTCAGTCTGTGTTTACATGCAGTCACAGGAGAAGCTTTTCAGTTGCTAAACCTTAAAGGAGCCTGTACAAAAGCTGTGCCAAAATCTTTTATTTTTCCAGATGAAAAGAAATTATACTTTAAAAGTATACATGGTTGAAACAGCAGGCGCATAAGTTTCCACCTGGCAGTGCACCTGGTGAGTTCTTTCTGGGTTAAAAACAAAAAAACTAAATGAGTTGATGTGAGTATAACTGTTAGTAGAAAAGACACCAGATGTCAAAACTGGAGACAAGTTAATAGCAAGCAGCAGCCTCTGGGGCTGAAAAAGCCAACGCACAAGTGCCAAAAACTGCAGTTTTTCTACAGTCGCTGGCTCTAAAAGCCATTAATCCCCCTTACCCAGTTTATGCTTCCGGTTGTCGCCCTCGTTAACAGTGGTGCTGGCCAACAGTGACATCACAATTGCTGGCAAGCACGACACATCAGTGTCATGTAGGCTGGTGTGTACTATCATGCCACCATTTCAGTGACACAGTCGTACAGAAGCTCGGAGATTCTAGAGGGATTTTTAAAGCAAGGCAGATGCAGCAACAGCTTAAAAACATGACTTTGCTGTAGCTTTGCATCCTTTTTCTTCTTCTCCTATACCAATGCTCCTGTGAAGGATTCTTCTTAATAGGAGATGAATCTGATGTGCGCCAAGCACCAGTATAAATGGGTACAGGGCTGTAATGACGTCACGGTTGGTGTAACAAGCAATTTGAGTAACATAAGCTAGACTTAAGACCCCAATGTTAAAATGCTCAACTTTACTGTATCAATAAACATGTCTGCAGCCCTGTACAAAAAATGGTTTGGTCTTTCTGGATAGATTACACCTTCAAACAGCCTAATTGTATCTGATAGCTCTTGGCAAAGCTTCCATTCAGCTAAATAGAGTCGCTATGTTTAACTTCTCAACTGTGTTTGGTGCCTTTGGGAGCTTTTTTTTAATGCCGTTATCTGACATTTTATATGGTATTAAAGCACTGCTGAACTTATTATCTGTGCAGGTATCTGTACTATAGATGCAGCTTACAAACCAAGCTTGCCAGCATTAACTGATAGCACTCTTTGCTATTGAACAAATAGATTCACCACAGCTCCAACACAACATGGACATATAGCTCAAAGTTTAAAGTGCCAGTCCATAAGTTGATAAGTGATGTTGCACTACATCCATCAATTACATAATCTGCTTCTCTGCCATAAACAGACGACGGGGGAAAACACCTCTATAACGTCAGCTTTTCAAGCTGGGGAATGATAATCTTCTATTACATGTGTAATCTGTTAAGCTGTGATCACAGTGCAGGAGAATTAAGATAACAAGAGTGTCCTTTTAGTACCAGATGTAACAGCAATTATCAAATGTCATTAAGCAGATTCCAGATGAAGATACTGATCCTGTGATAATTGCAGAAAAATGAAGTGTTATGTTTTCCCCGGAGAAGGTTTTTTTTTTTTGTTTGTTTGTTTTTTAAAGTCTCTAAAAGCTTAACTGAGGGAAAATGTGGCTATGAGAAGAGACAGTGCCAAGGTGCATTACCTGTTCAGTTATGATTGGGCCAGGTCACACTGCAGCACAGTCAGTGCTGAATGGAGGCATTGGGACAAAACATGAGAGAAGTCTCGATTTATTATATTATTAGACAAGTTTTTGTACAGTTTGGTTAGCGTGTGAATGAGAGCGAGGTGGCCGTACGTGCGGCTGGGAACAGAAGATTGCATTCATTAATTTGCCCATTTTTATTCACTTGATGCTCCTTTGCCTTTTCTCACAATGGACTCTCACAGCTCTCGAATACAAAGCTTGAATGCGAAGAAACCATTTAAGCAGCCTCTTTTGTGACATCGATTTTTCCCTTCCATCTGCCAGTTTTCTCCTCTGAACTTACACTGCTTACAAATGATTTTTTTTCAGCTGCTCTTTTTTTTTGTTGTTGTTAAAGATTTACTAAAATATGATATTGATTTCTTGTATGAGATTTGTAAAAGTACACTAAATTATCAAAGAAAAAATGTGGGTACGCTGCTCTCTTTTTGTAGCAGCTCTGTTTTTGGCACTTATTCTCTCTTTTGCTTTAATGTTGGGGAAACGCTTCACCTAAAAGTGAGAAATCTGGAGTGGCATTTGTGAAGCGGTGCCAAAAAAAAGTTTATATGTGCATCAAAGCTCAAGTGAGGAAGAAGAGTGTGAATCTGTTAAGTTATCGTTTTGCTTTTTTAACAAAAGTATAAAAGGTGTTTGATATTTTGAAATATGCAAATGTATAAAGTACCATTGGCTTGGGAATTTTGGGTTTGTTTGTTTTCTATGGGGAAAAAATGTTCTTATTTACTTGTTTTGTGGGCGCGTTTGGAAAGTTGACTTTTTTTTTGATACTGCTTTGTTAAATGCTTGTATTTATCAAAACTGTTTGTTACACATTTTGCAGTCATAAATAATTTGCTATACAATTCTGTGTCGGGACATTTGTGTGTGTCTGTGGATTTTATTATTTATTTATTTTATTAATGGGACACCTCTGGTTGTTAATTTATATACAAAGCATTTAATTTCACAAATTCCATTTGAATGTGCTTGTGTTTTTTGGAGCATGTTATCAGAATTTTATGACCACTGTTTCTTTCTCTTGAAGTTCCACACTCATGAGGACCGAAACTTAAAATGCTGAAATATCATCAGTTTTATTTAATTAAAGATGGAAAATGGTTTTGAAAATGGGCAGATTTGGCAATATATTTAGAGATTTCTTCAATTAAGCACCAAAGATCTAAATATAACCGGGCACCAAAGCATTTTTTTAAAGGCACATATTTCTTCTTTTGATACATGTTCAGTCTCCCTGTCACATTAAGTATTTAAAGAAATATGCTAATCTATAGACTGATCACAAATGAAATCCAAAAACAATTAACAAACAGAACACCATCTGAAATGATGGCATTAGTATTATTATTATTATTGGGATATGATATAGAAAACATGAGCTTGAGAAGACATGCAAAAGCAAATTAGCTTTTTAGCTCCATTTGTGTCCATTCCATTAGGCCTACTTGATGAGGGAGGTGAGGAAACTGAATATCATATAAAATAAATATAAAATCCAGTATGTAACAAACCTGGAACCTGAACACACACACAATATAAAAAAAAATTATGGATCGTCTGGTTTATAAAGCATAAAGTAAACAGAACATACACAAAAAAATTTGTAATTCTAGAACAGGCCTTTTAAAAGTACTGGTGCAGCATTTGAGTAGTTCGGTATAACGCACTGGTTGACGGTTCACGTTCCTAAGCTGTGTACCTGCTCTTTCTCGAAATTGGAACAAAGATATTTCCAGGTGTTGAGCTCTCATAACGTTTCGTACAATGGCTGACGGGCGGTTTCCTTTTTGTTTCCACCGAACTATAATGAAGAAACAGGTAGCTCTAGTTTTGTTTCAGACGCAGAGACGAGCAGCGTACAGTACAGCAAACTGCAGCACAGACACGCCCACTGTTTTGATTTGAGAACGGACGAAACCAAAAGAAGTAGCGGCATTTTTAATGTCTTGTCTTTTTCAAGGTAGAAAATAGTTTAGTTCAATGGTTTATTATGTTTATAGCTGCATTTTTCTATGTGACCACAGCCACGCATACAGGATAGATGTTGGTGTGAAACAGGAAGAGCGTCTATCATTGTTTAACCATCCCCCCCTTATTGGTGAAAATGGTTTAGTCCAAGTTTGAAACGACGTTTTGAACTGGAGGTTTTTAAACTGCGGAAAGAAACACTGTAACGTTTCTAACATACTACTCACCTCTAAAACCTATACTATATTCTTTAAATAACAGCAACAGGTAAGTTCGCCTTTAGAAAGGTGTCATATTTTCATTTCTGTGTAGTCTTATTTTTGACTTTAATAAATACATTTTTACTCATTTCATTTTATGTAATTTTTTGTTAATACTTTAATGTACACATGTAATAGTATATTTTCTGTGTGTGGAGTGTAGGTGTACCCAATTTTACCCTTGTACCCAACTTCATTAGTTTTCTTTTTTTTCCTAATAAATAATGTTTAACCTAAATATTTATGTTTATATCAATAAACATATTTATATCAATAGTTGCTAT